ACTGCTAATTGTGGGCTGTGACCGTGTAGCAGTCAATTCGTTCCGTCACAAAAGAAGAATGCATCTCGTGGTCCTGTTTGTAAATATCCATACTTACATGCATACGTGTATGTATATGTTCTCTTAAGGTTCGCTGTCAGCCGGCAGAGGGCTCATTTTTTAATTATTTAAAATATTTTAACATAATATTTTAATTTGTTTTTGCGGCCATGCTATACATTAAGTTTTGATATATGTTAGTACTAAGTAAACTACGAGGCCTAGTTATTTGTATGAACTGAATATTTGTTACACAACAAAGAAAAATGGTAGAAATGAGAGCTGTTTCGGAGATCACCACATCTCCTCATCAGACTTCTTATGGCAGGGATCGAACCAACGGATGCTGACTGACATTGCGCCATCATCAGCCATATAATCTATTGTTGTCTTAAGTCTGCTGTTTTTAAAATAGAAAGAATTGCAACAATAAATATAGTTTTTAAGATTTCATTTAGTGATGTATTTTAAATCATTAATTTGTAATATCTGTATTATTTAAGTGCGCATTTTGACAAGTTCCACCACGTGATTCGCATCATTATTGTTTCCACACCACTTTATGAAGATATTGAGCTTTTAGCTGCTTCCAGGAAACTCACTTTCGGTTGTCGAATACCTTGCTCGGTAATCGATACGTTGCTTTCACTATCAGACACTTTTGAATCTACGTCATCTTCCGTAATTTGATCCCTGCTCTAATTTGATTGTCATTGGTGACATTGCTGACGTCAGCACCTACCACCTTCGATATCAAAAATTGAACTTCTAGAAATGTATAGTCGTAAGTACTACTTGCTTTCATCGACTCAGGCAACGGAATGACGACTTCACCAATTTTGTAACTTGTACTACTGTTTCAAGGACCAAAATAGTATCACGTATTGTAAACATGTATAAATTTTTTTATGGTACGGAGAATTCCCAAATTGAGCTGTTCTCGGCTTGTTGCCATATAATGAGTTTTTTGAAGAATTGACATGCTTGAAAAAGTTAACTAAAAGGTTTACTAAAGTTTACACTAAAATTCGATTAATCTGACTGAGCGTTTTACCTTTTCGTGAGTAAACTTTTTCAAGATTCTACTATATTTATATTAACCTACAAATACTTATGTATATTAGTATTAATATTTTTGAAATTCCGTACACAGTTCTCTTATACCGCGATTCGAATATAAAATCCTCTTTGTGGATGCAATTTTCGGACGTCGAACATTTATTGTGTTTATTGACGAGGGTTCTTTTCTGCACAGAGGTGGTGATTAAGAACACCACATATCGGTCCTGGCAAGTCGATCGGCCTCTACCCATTTAAGGATATATCGTTTGGAGTCTGAATATTACGAAATTTGTGCAGATGGTACCTTACTTGCCCACCCTGGCGCTTTCCAAATTATTCATTTTGACATACAATTCGAAATTAACTGGATGCTGCGTCGGACAGTATCTTTACTTCTTTCCATGAATTTTTTTCTAAACTTCTGAAAGACCTTTTAATCTGTACAGTCTCCTTAGCATTACACAGGTGTTGTAAAAAACTGTTACCGTTCCGACAAACAATAAAGTACCGTGAATATTAACTGTTGCATTGCTAATGAGAAAATTAAGGCAAAATCATTTGTTTCTAACAAACTCACATTCCGAAGGCCATGGTGGGAGTCATTACACCAAGTGTATTTTTGATATGAATCCGGCTTAAAATAAATTCTAGATCCCCCCATGTGTTGGCAAATCGATTCAGCGGTTACAAAGCGCTAATTATACATTTCTATATACATACTAAATACATACATATTATACATATATTCGTATAAACGCACTTTTAATTTAAATTTTTTTCTCTAATTTTTTTTTTGCAATGAAATACTCAAAAAATATTCTGCCTTAAATTGTTTGGCAAACTAACGGGAATTTGTATGGAGTACGAAAACTTGTTATTTTTTATTATTTGAATCGGTGCGGCTTAAGTATTGTACCAAACACTGCATACACGTATATGTATATGTACTTGTTTAACCATTGAATGCATGAGGTCAGCCCCCAATATTGAGATATGACGTGCCTTATGTAAAATCACCCACTAACACGAAATCGACACTTATTTTTTGATTTTGTGTGCTTTTATTGTACTATTTATGGTACACTAAGATTGATACCAAATGAAAGTTAGTATATTTTGTAATTTTTTTGTTTTAATTTAATTTATTAAAATGAAGGGAAATAGAAGTATTGTACATCAAGAAGATTTTACGGAAAGTAAACACACTTATGGCAAATAATAATATTTTATATGAACATATTAACAATAAAGCGAGATATTTACTTTGGATTTTAATGGTATTTTTGAATATTGAACGATTGTTCACGATTTTGTCTCCAGTACATTTTTCTACTTGCACCTTGCTCGACCTTCAATTCCAGGAACATATCGTATGACTTGTGGTATTCCATATTCTTCTCGCATACGAGATACTGGCGTGCCTACTAGAGCACGGGGTTTGTTCATATTAGGGATCATATTCGTCAATATATAAAAAACTTCCGGTGGTATGATTTTTGAGTCATCGGGATGCTAGGGTTTGCTCTTTTTAAAAGTTAAGAAGCATTTACTATGCAAAGATCCAATAGGTGGCGACCCTGGTGCGAGTTAATAAGATCGACTGGTTGTCTTTCCAAGATAGAGATGTTATAGGCTCACCGTATATTGTAGTTATGAACTCTTTTGAGACACCACGATTCATTTTCATCATAACCTATGTATCCGGAAGCTTACAATTTTTAATAGGTTTCGATGGATGGCCCTAATGCTGTAGATACCTTGCAATCTCAGATAAATCAATAAATTGATTGAGATGTAATAATTATCCATGTAATTGTAAATATTAGCGAATGCTTTCAAATCTGGCTTTTCAGACAGTAAACAACATGAACATCCAATATAAATTTCAAACTTGTACATAAAACCTGATGCGCAACAAAAAGCAATGAATTTAAAATCCCACTTCTTAGATTTCTTTGGCAGATATTGCTTCATGAAATGACCAACTTTGGTAGAACACATTAAAAAACTGACACGTTAACATCATCATCATTTATATTGATAAAAAAAGAATCACCGACAGAATCTTCTTCTAATATTACATAATCGTTTTCGGCTTGATTTCTAATAGGAGGTGGATTTGGTCTTTCATTTATTAGTTCATCTAATTCATCCGTGTATTCTTCTTCATCGTCATATAGGGCGCATACGCAAAAAGCAAAAAACAAATAACAAACAATCAATTTTAATCACACTTGACTGTACACTGATGTACTCTCCTATAATGTTAAATTTTTTATTGACGAAAGAAAATCACGTTTCGAGAATATTTTTCAAAATTTACGTTTGACACTTGAGTTGCTCACTGCAAGCGTAAGTGCTATTGAAATGAAAACTAGCTTTTTGATTGATATAAATATTAAGAACTACAGCCTTGGCCAAAAGTATTAGGCACCTCACTATAATATTGTACAAGTATTCTCAACTGTGGTTATCAAAGTTACCACTTCTTTATGTAAATGTCTTACATGGATGTTTAACTGTTAATTAATAGAATAAATTGTGTAATATTAAAAGTCATAGCACTCTGAGTAAATTTAAATTTTTAAGAAAGTCATAAAATATTTTCGCATTTAAAACTTGAAAGTGAAAGTGTAATTTACATTAAGGAAAAAGCTAGCAATCTTATAAAAACAGTTCATATTTACCGAAATGCATTAAAAAACTGAAATTATTTAGGATGATAAAATTGAATTCTCAGGTTGATATGGCCAATTTGGTGTGATGTTCGCGGTGCGCAATCCAATGTGATATCAATCGATTTGTGGAGACGAACTCCCACAATAATAAATCAAAAAGTGGAAGAAAGCGTCTAACCAGTAAGCGAGAAGACCGAATTCTTATACGCGAGTCTCACAAGGATCGCAAAAAATTTTCTTCTGCCCTTGCAGCTGCCCTTTCGGGTGAATTTAGTAAACCAGTTAGTGCTCTGACAGCTAGAAGAAGACTTCTGGAAGCAGATTTAAAAGGATATAAAAGCCGTGGCTCTCAGAAAAGGATAGAAAAATTTGTTTGGTACCCGATACCAATATCTCATGGTAGAGAATTGGTTGAATGTTCTGTGGTCTGATTTCTAGGTAAGCTTAGTTAACATCGTCTTAAAGTATTAATAGCTTTAGCTTCTTAGCTTAGAACAATTTTGAAGACATAATACAAATCTTATGAAACCATTATTTTTTCTTTTCTAGAGATATTTGGAATACCTGGTGTGACGTTCGTGAGGCGACGGCTTGGAGAAGAATATCATCTAGATTGCGTGGTACCCACTGTTAAGCATGGATCTGGGGTTGCATGGCTGCTGATGGTGTCGGCGAAATGTTTGTTTACGAGGGTCGCAGCAACAGTCAAAAGTGCATACATAAATGTATTAGAAGCTGTCCTTCTGCCTTCGTTAACGCGAATTTTCGGTGATACCAATTTCGGCTCCTTGTCACAATGAGATGACAACATTGTTTCGTTAGATTGGCCAGCACAGTCTCCAGATCTTAATGCCATTGAGCACATGTGGGCTATTTTAAAACGCAAGACTAAGGGACACAGTATAACATCAAAAACTGCCTTAAAGAATGCTTTAATTAACGAATGCTACGCTGTAAGTGCGGACGAATGTGCAAAGCTTGTACGCAGCATACCTAAGAGAATTGCTGCCGTTATTAAATCGTAGGGTGGACCTACTAAATATAAATGTTATTATCACTAATTAATTGCATTTTCATTGTTTCACTAATAAAACTTCATTACTTCACTTGTTAAAACAAAAAATTCAGTAATTAGTGGTTTGCCTAATACTTTTGGCCAAGGCTGTATATGTGCGTACCACATTTGGTATGCTCTGCCTTTAAGTGCTAAACGCTGTTGAGTAAGAAAGTCGTAAGCACATAAGGTGATTGAAAGAAGTCTTTTTTTATAATTAAATTTACAATTTTATTTTAATTTATTATTGAGGTTATGTTATATTAAAAGGCCAAATGGAAAATATCTCAATGACAGTAAAAAATTCGAAATTGACCTGTATCACCAGGAGTGTTATTCAAATAGGGAGAGAGGGAATGAAGCTCAGAGACAGTCGTGCGTTCTTTTTTGAAAGGAGAAAGGAAATCGAAAACTAAATATTCGCCAAAGAAATCAGATCAGAAAGGAAGCCATGATCAAATTTTTGAACGTCACTCAAATAAAATAAAATTTGGATCTTCCAGTGACTGCCGTGCATATTGCAAACATTTTTAGATTTTTCCTCAAAAGACATGAAACGTTGTGTTTTCCAACGAGAAAAAAAATTGATTTAGATGACTCAGACTCGTACAGTTGTTATGGGTACGATTTGCGTAACAACAACGTGCGCGTGGGAGGATTTTTCATTGAAAGGTAAAGCAAAAATAAACTTTGTACCACCTAAAATAAATTCCAAAATATACACAAATCTTCTGTACGATCTTTTATTTGGTTCTTGGATGATAAAAGGAATGAAGACACCATTTTTAAGCAGGATAACGCCGCCATTCACGTGTCAAAAGAGTCTTTGAAAAGGTTTGAGGAGCATAAAATTCCGCTTATGAAGTGGCCCGAGCTCACTTAAATCCAGTGGAGAAGATCTGGGGATGTATGTGGCGAAAAATATATGGACAAAAAGCCCAAGGAAAACTTTATAGGCCTGTTTTGGAGCTCAAGTTGGCCATGAAAGAAGCTTAGAAAAATTTGGACTGCACAATACCGGTAAATTTGGTAAATTAATGCGTTTATATACGTACTTGTTTTTGGTACAATACTTAAACCGGAATAATTTAAATACAAGAACAACAACAATAACAGTTTTTCGTACTCAATATAAATTTCAGATAATTTGCTAAAAAAATATATTTTGAGTATTACAATGAGAACAAAGAAAGAAGACAAAAAATTAAAATTAAGAGTGAATATGGGGCACTGTATAGCTACTATAATGTTTTGTAATGTATGTATGGCATAACATATTTTTCATTTTTCCAAGCCACATACAAGCCATGAAGTCGATGGGGTCATCTGTAACCATGGCAGATCGTACTTGGGAAGTTCTCATTATATTAGCTTCCAAGTTGGAAGTTACCATTCGTTGGCTACAGCTAGACGTCATTTAAACAATTTTCTTCTCTATGAGGCTTTTTAACCCCTTCCGGTAACACTTAATAATGAAGAAGTGTACACTTATTTCTTCTAATTCTTCCTAATCGCTCGAATCACCTTGGCCTTCATAGTCCGCAAAATTCTTATCCATTATGGTATTTGGTACCTAACACGTTTTTATAAGAATGAAATCTTACAGACTAACAACAATTCGGCTGGGACTCGTACCGAGAATTTTAACTTTCAATAATAGGAGTGCCAGAAAAAAAGGAACTGGCCGGGATGCATGAGCATGAAGAACTTGAGAAGCTGTCCGACAAAGAAGTTTTCCGGAGCAGGCTTTTGTAGCATACAGGGAGGTGATCTAGTAACCGCCTACTGAATGGGAAAAAAATGATACCCCTGGAGATGGTGAACCCGAAATCCCAATCGATGGAACAAGAGGTTCCATTTCTCGAGAATGCCAATTACCGTGCAATTGGCCACCTCAATGTCACACATAAGGCCCTACCGAGCATATTGTATGAAAAACTAAAGCCCAGTGTCAACAAACAGATTGGACCTTATCAGTATGGCTTTTTGGCTCCGAGTTTATCAAATCAAAAACAAGTTATGGTTGGCACTTTCATGCATGACTCTTCGCACTATAGAGGAGCCCCAAATAAAATAATTGTCTCGGGCTCTTGGGTACTTGGCATTTGCCGCTATAATCTTGCGATAAGGATCAAATTTAATGAATTTTGTTACTTCAATATTAATTGAAAAAAATTTACTCTCACCATTTGCTCGTTGGTAGACATAGGCTTCTTCGTTTTCGATGGCCCCAACAGTTCCTACAGCGAATGGCGACATAATGGGAAATCTAACCTTCGCAGGAAACATTGTGCGGATGACTGCTTCTGTCACGCGAGGAATACAATAGTTTACTGACGACTGATTTATGGGTATTCCCCATTGCTCTCCGACGAGACGTTGGTAGCATCCAGTTGCAAAGAAAGACAAGGCGTCTAGAATGTTTAAACATTTTAATATTGTAAAAACTGAAAAAAAATTTAAAAGTTTTATTATTACCTATTTTCCGTTATTTTCTGCCTTTCAGTTGGCTATCAGGAAACTCAGTTGCATTCAAGTGGAAACGATCTTCAACTTCCCGAAGCCAACTTCTAACCAATGATGAAGCGTACAATACCTCCTCATCTTGGGATAAAACGTATGTGAAATGCTCAAATTTTTTTTTTTATTTATAATTTTATTTTAATTTTTATAAAACTTAAGCAATTTCCCGATTTACGTTACTTTATTTCAACCTCAATGAAATAACAATATGTTCGTCTCTTGGTTAGCGATTTGTCGAGTAGTTGACAACAGCGGTAGCGAATAAGTACACCGAATATTAAAGTCGATAGAATCATCGTTTAGTCTTCTTTGCGAACCGAAAATCAATATAATACGATAGAGAACTCCCCTACAGGTCTGCGTCGCGATATACGAGAAAATCACTCTTTTTTCGAACAAATTCAATCACGGAAATGTTTTGAGTTTGGATGCGGAGCTTTAGTTACAACCAAAAATTTTTATATATTTTGTGTCATGAAATGATTCTTTATCTATGGAACATGTAGAAGAAAAAAAAATAAAAATATATATATTTTTGAGGTTACTAAATATTATCCTCATAACTTTACATTTTTCCTTAGTTTAGTTAGAGCATTTTCTTTTTTAACGATGGCCCCTATCTTTTGAAAAATGCTAAATATTTATTTGAAAACGCAAAACAAAAACAAGACAGTTTTAATTTGATTCGCGTCTGGTATATTTTTTAATAACAGAAATTTTGCCATTATTTCGGGTTTTTCACAGGGTTTTTTTCAGCCACAGCGGAACCAGTAAAATTTTCAGAGGAAGGTGCCCTTTTTTGGCGAACAGTTAGATGTTTTAAAAGTACGTTCAGTAACGCTTACTGGGAAGTAAGCTCCAAACGACCAAGAAAAGAGTTGTCCCATTTGTCCAGTATCTTTGCAGTGTATTGACGTCTAATGTCAGATCCAATTCCTTACCTGAACTTGTTGAAGATCGGGATGGAAATTTTATTTAATTTGATTTTAAAACCCTGAGAGAAATTATTGTCAGTGACATTTTATACAACTGAATACCGGATGATCTGATACAAAAGTTTCCACACAACGCAATACAAATACTTGCTTTACATTTTTATCTTTCTAATATTTCTAAGCTCTTTAATATTATTATGATTACTAATACAGGTAGACATATATGGGCCTATTAGTTTTAATGGCGATATTCTCCAAAATCTTCTAAAAACTTTTATTGAAAGAAAATACACTGAAGTGTTCCTGGATGTTGCTCACATAATTGGCAGAAAATTTTGGCTTAGTAAAAAATGAGAAAGCTGACGAAGTGTTTTTCGAGGAATTTGTGGTAATGTTCTTCTGCATCAGGTGTGACAAAAATCATTAGAGCAGTATCCCATTATTTTCTCGTTAAGCCCCATTAAACATTGACGTGTTATTATGCCAGCCGCTAAGGTAGTGGAGAACCGGTCTAGAAGAATAAGATGTTTTGATTTTTTCGAGTCCAACTTTTGTCAAAGCTGGCTCGTTACGTTGCATTTGATCTCGTGTAGCCATCTTGGAGCTGCTAACAAAGGCCAGTTAAAGCATATATGTATGTACTTTGCCGTGGACAAAGGTAAACCTGCATCGTGTACATGTTTTATTGTGGATAGAAGGGTTCCTTCTCTCTTCCTTGGTCTAAGTTTTGTGAATGATACGGCAATAATGGTAGATTACAACCACATTTAAAATTAATAGAAAAATGTCGACCTTCTTGGAGCGATACAGCCAATGTCTTTGTCAATGTATTCAAGTAACATTTACCCTGAAAAAGACACATAACCTTTATTATCTGTAAATGGCAATATAATACACAGAAACCACAGAAAGAATTAGTTACTTACTGGGGAGTTACATTGAAGTCACCTGGAGCATCCAAATAGGTGAACAGATTGTTCAAACTTAATATAAAATTGCACTTTTGGTCCAAAGCCCGCACTAAACCTAGAAAATAAAGTGTTAATTTTGCATATGCTTGGATGTACGGAACCTAGCTTTAAAGTTCAGCATCTAAATCTGGTATGAATAGAATTGAAAGGCTACTGTCTAAAATCTTAAGAGCAATCCTCAGGGCCCGTGCACACAACAAAAAGTATTTAAGTTTAATACTTTGAAACAAAAAACTCTTATTTGCACATTAATGCTCAATTTTGCCTCGGGCATTGGAATTACGGAGCTGTGCAAGACATCATTTTTCCTCACTACGAAGTATTTGTTTACCTACAATATTAGCTCAGATCCGATGTCAAGAAGGTTCTTAGCCTTACAATTTACACGCTGAATTCCAAATAATATTGCATGTAAATTGATCAAGCAAAAACAAAAAAATTCCTTTTGATTTAGGATTTTTTTTAAATTTAATTAATAATAAATTACGGAAACAATGATTTACTCTATATGCATGCAAATTTCGATTACAATTTTATAAAAAAGGAATTCTTGGTCCATGGGGTTCAAGGCCGCGACCTTCGCGATATTAGCACGATGGTAAAACCATCTGAGCTATGATGCCCAAGGATTGGTTAAGGTTTTGAACATTATTGCTAGTTTCTGAAAAAAAAAGATTCAGTAAATGCTTTGAAAAAGAAAAACTATTTAAAAGGTATTGGGGATTCAGATATAAATGCCAATGTGGTAAGAAATAGAAACTGTCAACCAATTACCCATAGTGAAATTTTTTTCAACGGAAAATTCCAATGAAGTACCGCAGAGTATGAGCGATGACGATCTAACAGATGACTTGTCGCGGCAGGAGTTTTAAGACCTCCCACGACTGCACCATACCTTCAACAGATTAAGGGCAATTTTTTCGAGCTCCTGTTAATATGAGGATCACGAAATGGGAATTCAAATTTAACGATATAATAAATTCGTTTTCATTTTCTCGGCCTCCTGTTAATTGCTTATTTAATGTTCTAAGGAAATAAAGTAAAAAAAATTCTCTTAGCAAAATGGCGCACCGAGGCTTTTTCAAACCTTTCCCCAAACTCATGAATATAAAATACCCCTCTATTTTTCATTATATTTATATATTATTGTAAAAGAAAATAAGTTAATTTATAAATCAGCTCTTTTCTGTATATAAAAAATTGTTCGCCAATGATTTTACAACCTGCTAAATTTAACCGTCTGAAAACCGTCTTCAAAATCTTGCTCTTTAAGCTTACCAAGCTCAGCATTAACCGCATTAAATATATCCTCGTTGTTTTCCAGTGGAATAGCAGCTCCGATTTTTGATCGGGTAAAGTAAGCTGACATCTTCCTTTTGCTGTTTTTTAGATTTTACGGATGGGTTTGCTTCTGTTGGTCCCCATGCCATGGGCTGCTGTTTGGTTTCTGGATCGTACTTATAGAACCAAGATTCGTCACCAGTTGCTGAAGTTGAGCAAAATGCACTCAACCCTCTTTTTGGGCTGCATTAAAAATACGTGGTACCCATCGAGCAGATTTCTACGTGTTTCCCAGATGATTACTCAATATTCGGGATATGGCATTTAAGCCCAATTCATTAGAAATCATTGTGTGTGTCAATCATGGGTCTTCTTCAATTTTGGACTTCACTACAGCTACAGTGACGTCATCAGTGGAAGATTTTAGTCGACCTTCTCAGTGCTCGTCCTGAAAACTTTGGAACCACTTCAGAAATAGTCTTTAAAGACGGTACAATAGTTTCATATGCAATTGACTGTAATATACGCGGAAGCCCGAAAAGAATCACAGCGAATTTTTGTTTGCGTTGGTGGTGGAATTAAGTCTAACATATTCTCAGCGTGTTCTCGTCTCCATTTTATCCGATCATTCTAATATTTGAAAGGAGGACTATTAAAGTAATTACAAAGACTTTGGTTCTTTTATATTTAACAAAGACAAATTCAAATTCCCCATTTGACCGAACTTTTGTTACTCCTCATGTATATGTGATCGAAAACGCGAGTGTATTTTATTTCGCAAAATCTGCTCAAAGGACCCTCGCGCCAACAAAGACTTTTTTTTATATTTAGAAGAGAGACAAATAGATAGATGTAATTCAATTAAGCCACCACAGAGATTTTCGCTATATTGAAAAGAGATAGAAAAAAGTTCTTAAAAGAATCTAATTCCATTTGCCATAATTACAGACACCAGTCAACTTTTATTTGACAAATTGATATACGAGTATGTCATCCGCTATAAATACCGTGGAAATTTCGGCGGCAATGTGACCCTAACTCTAGATACATATTATAGCATTTTTTCTTCTTGTCTTCAATTAATTTATTTATTTACTCTAGAGACCAGTTTTTGTGTTGTCTTCTATTTTTGACTTTTCGACCTTGGCACATCCAGCCGCTTCCTTTGGGATGGTTTGGCCTTGGCTATTTTGGAGAACAGGGGTTTTTGCTCAAAGTGTTCCAACATTATGGGGTTTTTTCTCAAATATGTATGTAGGTGTATTTGATGAGCCTGGCCTAGGTTTATATTTTTTTTAATGCAGCCGAAGATCGCCAATTTACCACTGTGCAAGGCGGAGTATGTTCTTTGTATAAAAATACTTTTTTAAGTCAAACAAAACTTTCGAGGAACAACACTTGCTTTTTAATACGAAAAATTCGTTGAATTAAACGTTTACCGTTGGAGTAATACAGTGACTATCGGCATTAAATTCATGAAAAGGTTTAAAATAATTTTTAAATGAGTGCCTTTATTCATTTCACGTCAAATCATTAACGAATATCTTCAAGCATTTTTAACAATTTTTTGTTATCTTTGGCAATAAATAAGGTAATTATTCGGTTTAATAATTGTCTATTCATTGCTCTTTGTATATTTCTTTTTTATTGCATTTTAGGGTTCTGTGTTCTTGATCAGGGTGTAAAGTTATTGAATTTTTAATAGAACATGGATTTTTTTTTGTTTTTTGAAATGTCTGAAGTGTGATAACAATTGTACTTTTATTGACAGGGAAAAGTCGAAAAAACAAGTAATAGTAAAAGGCAATAAAAACGATTAAGTCATGCTGTGTCTGGGTTAGTTTCTTTCAAAAAAGTTTTGATCGAATGAGCCATAAACAATAACGGTGGAGAGCTGGGAGGTAGAAAGTTAGATAAAGGAATTGACAGGGAATAAAAAAATAAATAAATAATAAATCGAAAAAACAAACCGTGCTGGACTCACACACGTCTTATTCATTCCTCTTTGCTAGATTTTTTTACGCAGTGCGACAACATCGTTTTAGCCATGCATTTGTTAGTAGTAGTTAGTAGTTATATATAATAAGTGCCTTTGCTTCTTCTTTAACACCTTTAAACACCGTAATAAATGCGTGCAGTTAAGTTGGTGGTCGAACGAAAAAGAAAAATTGCTAATGCTACCAACTACTCTGTCACCTACTGGACCGTACGCTTTCCAGTCGGTGTCAAGAGAGTGAGTTTTGTAGCAAAAACTCGTCGTTTATTTAATAACGGAAAATAAAATTATGCAGTAAATTCCAACCCAATGGTCAAAAGTAAAAAATTAGTTATACAAAATGTGTAGAA